TTTTTCTATTTTCTTCGATTTCGCCCTTACCCCCCCAACCAAAAATTTGATTTTTTTCTTTTTTTTTTGCCTGATGGGGTGGGGCTGGGGTTGCGCCGCCACGTGGCGCTTCCCGATTCCTCAACCTCCCTCCCCAGCGGTCGCCACGCGTCCGCAAAGACGCGCGTTCGCGCGGATGTGTCCGCGGGCTTCGCGGCCTGGCCGCGGCCGTGGACTTGGCCGCGCCTGTCCGCCGCCGGGGGGGATACACAGCAGCACGTACGAGACATGTGTCATTAGTCATTGTCTATTGGACCGAAGGGCAGACCTTGTGCACGCAGGTGTAAGCCCGATCAAAAGAACAGGGCCTACACGTGTGTCTGCAGTGCATGTGTTCGGTCCAACTTTTCGAATGATTGAGTTTCCGCCTTACCCCACAACATGAATATTGAACTCCCTTTTCGTATTAGTGACCGCGAATGTTTGAGAGATCCGAAATTTCGGGAGAACTGGGAGCATGCGTGTCTGTCTGCACGACCGATGAGAGAACTTACTGATTTTTCACACCCGGTGAAAAATGAGCGCATCTGCGAGTGGGATATCGACCGCGCTCGAGGACGCATTCCTCAACACCCAGAATTCCCCAGCTCGTACACGTGTCACCTGGACGTGGAACCAAGAATAATTATTTTGGACACTAACTTCCCTCCCTACCACCACATACTGCCCTTCCACTCGGTGACCATCATCCCCTGGCGTGCAATCGCTCTGGATTGGCCCCACCCCCCGTGCTCAGAGTGCTTGCAAGACTGCGAGTACCGAGTCTCTGGCTTCATCCAGCGAACCCGCACGGAGGAAGAGCGACGGACGCACAGCCTTCGACTACGGCCAGTTGCGTCAGACTCTGAGACCAATAACGAGGTCGGATGCCTGTGCGAAACGCTTATTCGCATGGGGGAATTCCTGATCGTTACAGTGCTTGCAGACGGTAGTTCATCAAATGTAGGTGTTGTGGAAGCGCAGGGTTGTGCTGCTGAGTGGGAGGGCAAAGTGCAGAGACGACTCAAAAAGCACATGAGGAAGTCTTTGCAATGTCGGCAATATGTTGCCCTGTACGAAGAGACAACAAAACTTTTGTTCACATGTGAGGATATTAGGGATGAGTTGCGAGCAAAGGAAAGAGAAAAAAACAGTAAAATGTCACAGTTGTTGTACGAATTGTCTTGATGTGGGGACACTTGTCAGTCGTATGAGCTGAAAATCGCCTCTTTGGTAGACCACATGAAATCCCTGCGGGCTGTCTTGTGCAGTGAACAGAAACACGCAAACGAGATCCACACGCGTGGAATGCGAAGGTGCATCTTGTCGTTCATATGCGCTTGTGGTGTTCAGATGATGCCCGTGTGTCCTGGTAGGTTGCCTCAGAGGGCAGTTGATGTAGCTGGCATGTCCTTTCCGATGTGGATGACAATGCCAATGACGGTCCAGTAGTGTATGTGCGAGTGCGTGTGAGTGTGTGTGTGTGTGTGTGTGTGTGTGTGTGTGT